AATTTTTTTTATAAATTTTATTAAAAAAACCAACCCTAGAAAAAGCTCAGTTAAACGGCTTCTATATATTGAATGAAAGCTAGAAAACAAAATGAAAACATGGTCGGTGCTTTTTCTTTTCTTTTTTTTTGGGCCAACAGATGGCATATATAATGGTGTTTAAAAGAACAAATTCAACCATATCAATTGAATTTAACCAAAAAAAAAAAAAAAACTTGACCAATGTCATCGATGACGTCTGAGAGTGTCTGCAAGATTAGTAAAAACAAAGAATCCAAAGGAAACATTCATCAATGGCTGTCCGATCGAGAAGCAAGGCAACTTGATGGCTTCAGTGCTTCACCAGTTGAAACTGTCCACCCCCCCTGCCCTTCCTCATTGAATTGACCAAGTACCAAGTGATTCTTTAATTTAACCATATTGTTTGCACCCCTACAATATTAAAAAAAAAATGCGTAATTTCTGCAAAGTTTTGAATCTAAAAAACAGAGTAAGTGGGGAAGGAGTTGTCAGCAAGATTTTGGCCTTTTTTTGCATTCTCATCACGCACCATAAATTCCCCACTAAGGCTTTCCTTCTTCATTAATTGGCGGTTACTAAGAAGTAACCACCTTTGTCGCTTTACAAACGCATGCTCTCGGAAAACTCATGCACTCTTGACTCAACACACTTGCCAAATTTCCCATCTATCACCAAAGCCAAATTAATATATCTTGGGAACAATTATATACAAAGTACTGCAAGATCAGAAGAGAGCCCTCAGCTTCCTCCACCTTCAAACCTCATGGAAGTCATGCTTTCCGAGCTCAAGAAACAGAGAGGAATGGCACTTCCCCTGGTGGCTATGAACTTAACTTGGTTCGTCAAGATTGTAGTAACGACGATATTCCTAGGAAAGTTAGGAGAGCTGGAGTTAGCTGGAGGGACACTGGGATTCACCTTTGCTAATGTCACTGGCTTCTCCGTCTTGAATGGGCTTTGTGGTGCCATGGAACCGATTTGTGGTCAAGCTTATGGAGCTAAAAACTTTAGGCTCCTGCACAAGACTCTTTTCATGGCAGTTTTTTTGTTGCTATTAGCCACCTTGCCTATTTCTTTCTTGTGGCTTAATGTCGACAAAATTCTGATCCATTTCGGCCAAAAGGAAGACATTTCAGCTGTAGCGAAGACGTATCTTTTCTATCTCCTCCCTGATTTGGTGGCCACTTCATTGTTGTGTCCTCTCAAAGCCTACTTGAGTTCCCAAAGTATAACAGTTCCCACAATGTTGAGCTCAGCTCTTGCCCTTGCTTTGCACATACCCATCAACATCTTTCTTGCAAAAACAAAGGGTATTCAGGGAGTCTCTATGGCAATATGGATAACTGATTTCGTACCCGTAATACTCCTAGCTTTGTATATGTTTGTGATAGAAAATAAAAAAGAGGGAAGGTGGGAGCAGGGAGGGTGGCTGGACCAGGGTGCTCGAGACTGGCTCAGGCTATGCAGGCTGGGCGGTGCATGTTGTCTCACAACCTGTCTTGAATGGTGGTGCTATGAGATCTTGGTCTTGTTATCAGGAAGGCTAGCCAACGCTAAGCAGGCGGTAGGAATCTTAGCCATTGTGCTGAATTTCGACTACTTGCTCTACGCAGTGATGTTGGCTCTAGCCACGTGCGTGTCCACAAGGGTGTCGAATGAGCTAGGAGCAAATCAACCTGTGTCCGCATGTCGGTCTGCGTTTCTGTCACTGGCTATGGCTGCAGTTTCAGGTTGCATTGGAGGATCGGTGATGGTTGGCGCAAGAGGCACCTGGGCATCTTTATTCAGCCATGATAAGGGAACCATCAAAAGTGTGAAGAAGATCATGCTACTAATGGCTGCAGTGGAAATTGTAAATTTTCCTTTGGCGGTCTCTGGAGGAATCGTCCGTGGAACAGCTACGCCTTGGTTGGCCATGTATGCCAATCTTGGTGGGTTCTACCTCTTAGCTTTGCCCTTGGGTGTGATTTTAGCCTTCAGGGCTGGTCTTGGGCTAAGTGGCTTGCTGCTAGGATTTCTGGTTGGGATGGTTGTCTGCTTGGTGTTGCTGCTGGTATTTGTAC